TTTTTTTGAAAAGAATCACTTTTTTTTTAAAAAAAAAAAAATATATATTAACCTGCCATCCGTAGAGAAGCTAACTGCGGATCCAATGCTTGAAGCTTGAAGCTTGAAGCATATACTTAAGTTTTGGCTTAAGCATAAGTTTCAAGCTTCAAGCTTCAAGCTTAATATAAAAAATGCTGGAAAAGTTTAAGCTATATTTGGGCATCAAACTAACCATATATTGAATTTCACAACAAATTTATTAAAATAATACTACGATTAAAGCTAAACACATTACACAAGCTTTTCGGCATTCTTATCTTCAAGCTAAAGAAATGAAACCAATATTTAAATAAAATTAAATTTTCAATTCTACTTTCCGCAAAATCTTTTACATCAATATCGCATTAAACCACAATGTAATTTTGTACTAGAATCTTTATATAGTACACATTCCTTCTTTAACATTATAAGTTTGTTGTACATTTTGCATTAATACATATTATGCACACGTCCCTGTACGTTGCTTTTTGCTGCCTCGGTTTTTACTGCCAAAAAATTCCCAATTGTTCATAACCCTGACTTGTAGGACCGATTTTCCCAGAGAAACCTGAAAAAAAATGTCACGAAAAATCACGTGATATTTTTTATCACCGGCGCTGGGGTAGTCGACCACCTCATACCGGTCTTCATAACAGATAATAAATGATTTTTATATTGCTGTAAATTTAAAGCTAAAAAAAATTTTTTTATTTGCAAAAAAAAAAAAGAAAAAATACCGAACGGTCTTATTGTATGCGATACAGGACCGAAAGACCGATGTCCTACACCAAGACGGACCGGTTCGTCTTTTTAAGGATTAAGACCGTAAGCCCACGGTGTTTTAGGACCCGATGACCATCCTTACGGAAGACGCTATTGCCGCGACTGACGATTAAAAATCGGTCCTATCATGTGATCATTTGACGATCAATGTTTTAAATGTTATATGGACAATAATATATTGTGCTGATATTCCGTGTCCGAAATGTCATAACGTGAATGACACAAATTACCATTTAGGATTTTGCCCGTCTATTCGAACGGACCTTATTAACATTATCTCTGAACACAAACCTATACTCAAACAGCTGATCTTGGATCACACCCCGGAGAAAACTATGACATATTTCTTAGATGATGACTTAGCAACGCTTCCTCTCTTCGCACCTAACATTGATGAAAAACACGAAATTTATTTGCTCATACACCAATTTATTCCCAGTTCGCTTACTACTCCATCAATACTACCTACACAAAACAGCGCGTCGTTTTATCGTTCTTACACAACATTATGCCCACCTATATGGTGATTATGGTCCGCCCATATAAGGTTACAACATACGCACTTGTGACATAAATTATAAGGATGTAAGCTTTTGATGATCAACCTGGTTAAATTATAGATCCGGGATAAATATGGATAAATCTGAGGTTTAATCCCAGACTTTTGATCAGAAAGGCGGGCCATAATAAAAGGTATATTGGTTTATTGTTTGGTTTACCTATAAAAAAAAATCTAGAAAAAACTCCGATAAATAATCATTTTTCTAGTTTTTATTCCGAAGAAACTCAAACACGTGATCATTTTTCAGAAAATTTTTATAGGGTCATTAATATACTGTATATGTTAAGGCTGCTCCATGTCAATCTTCATAATTTCGGCCAGAGTTATAAGTAATAATATATAATAATTCTGGCCAAATTTTATAATTCCGGCCTAAACTACATGCTTTTAGCACGTAACTTGTCAGCGCAATAAAACTTATGCGCACTAAAGTTTCATGATGTCGTGTATACTGCAACTAATGAAGAAGAAATTATATGATAAGCTAGATTATTTATAAATTCATTACAATAAGAAATTTTATTCTACCGAAAACTTAATATAATGAACGAACCTAATGGAGGATTCGGTGTATCAAGTTCTGAATATATTTGTAAATTGTCTCGGTCATACTAGGTTCATTGCAAGATTGTAAAAGCCTTATGAAATTTTTGCTTTTATAAATGCCAATATAGTATAATTGGGCAACATTTGTTTATCTATTTCCGCTGTTGTGAAACATTATTATTGTGTCAAAGTTTATGGTCGCACAGAATAGTAATCCAATTGGGAAAATTTGCCGGAGTTGATTCCGATGTACATAAATAAATTACACTTTACGTTTTTTTTTGTTTTTTAAATAAAAAATGTTCAAACTCAGTAAAGACATTCTTTTCTTAATATTTAAAGAATTACAAGATGATTCAAAATCCCTTTTTTCAAGTTTAATGGTTAATAGACTTTGGTGTGAAACAGCTGTTCCAGTTTTATGGAGGGACCCTTGGTCTTATAGTGGTATCAATTACAGAAACAAAAGCTATTTGTTTATCATTATTACCAGCTATTTTTCTGATCATATTAAAAAATTCATAACAGAGGAAATAATCCAACTGTCTTCAATTTTAGTTAAATCCACCCTGTTTGATTATTTATCCTTCTGCAGAAGTATCAGCGTAAATATTATAAATAGTATAATTTCTGTTGGATCAACTTTAGCTTATAACCAATTTATTATACAACAAGAATTTTATTATTTTTTTATGAAAAAATGTCCAGAGTTGAAACATTTGGATATAAAATCAATTAAGCATCAAATATTCTACTTTCCAGAAGCTAAGACTTGTCTTGAATCACTTTGTGAATTAGAATGTGATACATCTATTGATTCTACATACTTTTATGGATTATCACATTTCTGTCAACGTATACAAAAACTCGTCATTATTAATATGGACACAAAACTTAATAATGGGATTGTTAAATTAATTGAAGTTCAGAAGAGCTTAAAGCATTTTGAGTGGAAAGATGATTTTTATGGTGAATTTTTTACAAATGATGATGATCCATACGAACAAATTCTTCTTGCTCTAGAAAAGAAAGCAGAAAGTCTCAATTATTTAAAAATATTTTACCAATATGTGGAAAATCATGATCACACATTATTGTTAGAGATACTTCCAAAATTTTATAAACTAAAGATATTAATAATTGAGGACTATCTTATTCATAATAAAGAACAATTAGAAAAATTGAAAAAGCAGCCTTATCCTGAACTTGAAATCCTTAATATAGAATATAATGAGTTAAATATAGTTTCTAATATAATTGAAAATAGTGGAGGGCGTCTCAAAAAAATTTTATTCAACCCTTACGATATTATCGACTTTGAACTTTATGACGATAACTTTAATGAAAATTCTCTCAATTTTATTCGTAAAGTTTATGAAAATTGTCCTTCAATAGAATATTTGTCAATTTTAATTTCACCGGAAAATGAAAATTTCACTGAACTTGAAAAATTATTAAAAAGATGTCAAAATTTAAAGTCATTATTTATAGTTATATTAAATAATTATTTTGATGATACTTACGAAGACTATTTGAAATATGGGAAAGAATTATTAAAAATATTAATTAGATCGGCACCAACTAATTTTAAAGAAATTAGATTTGATAGTGATTTCAAATTTTCTTTAGAAATGTTGGAAGAATTCTTAGAAAATTGGAGAGGTAGACGTGCACTTTCTCTATTTACTAATGATCCTATTTACATCGGAGAGGATTATACAGAATTAATCAATAAATATAAAAGTAATGGGGTAGTCAAAGATTTTGAATATTCGCGTTATGTAGGTTCAATTATTTATCGTATTTAAGATTAAATGTTAAATTTCAATGTAACAAGAATTCAAAATATTATTTGTAAAAATTTGCAGTAAATGTTTCTTCTATTATAGTATATGATTATATAACAGATATGATTAATAATAAATTATTTTCTAATATTTTGATCTTTTACATTTGCTGACATTTGTGACATTTGATAATTTAAATACTGTATATAAGATCTGAATTAATTATAAA